CTGGGGCTTCGGGGCAAAGCTTCCCTGGCGCCTGGGACAGGGGACGCTGCCTCAGGGCTGGGGAAGGCGAGGGGCTGCGACGCAGCTCAGGCGGAGAGCGCAGGCAGCCCCGCGGCCGAGCTGGGGGCTGCGGGCAGCGCGGAGCCCCGGACACGCTTCCGCCGAGGGGTGAAACTCCCGGAGGAGGCCCGCAAGGGGGTCCCCGAGTGGCTGATGTCCCACCCAAGGCCTAGACCTGGCGGCGTCCTCGGAGCCTCCACACTGCCTCCGGGCCCCTGCCGGGCCGGGCCGGGCCGGGACCTCTGGCGGCGGAGTGGGCAGCAGCATAGGCCGCCCACGCCCTCCCGAGCCCAGGACTTGGGCCTTCGCTGCCGGTAGAGGCCATTCGCCCCACTGGACCACCGGCCCCCGCCTGGCCGCCCTCTGCTCTTCTCACTCGGGGAGTGCCCCCAAAGCTCCCTGTCCCCTCACCCCGCTTCCTGAGGGGCCAGAACTGGCCGCGCTGGCCCCAGCGGGCCTCGGGCCTGGCCCGGCCCACGGCCCCCGGCCGCTGACGCAGCCCCGAAGTCCGTTTGCGTGCCGGGGTGGAGGGCGCGGGGCTGGAAAAACAAACAGGGCCGGGGCGCCGCGGCGCGGGGTGGGGCTGGAAGGAAGTGCGCAGTGCCGCGAGAGCGCCGAACAAAGCCCTCTCGGGAGCCCGTCACCCCGCGCTGACCCCAGGCCCGCCCCGCCGAGTCGTGGGGCTCCCGGGCCTCGCCTCGGAGAGGGCCGCACAGCTCGGCGGGCGCGCGCCTCCCCGGCCCCGGCGGTCCGAGCCTGCGGCCCGCCCCGAAGGCGCGAGGAAACGGCGCGGCCGGCGACGAAGCCTCACGCGGCCACGAGAGCCCTCGGGGCGAGGCTGAGCGGAGACGCGGTGCTGGCGGCCTGTGTCGGGAATCGGGGCGATTCTGGGGGCGCCGGCGCCCCAGCGGTGCTCGCCGCCAGGGAGGGGCTCGAGCTGGGCGACCACCGCGGCCGCGACTCCCGCCTCCCGGAGCAGGGCCGTGGCTGAGGCAAACAGCTGTTCCTCTCATACATATTTCATTACACAATCAGATAATGCGTCCCACCACCTTCGCAATTATTCACAGATAAACATTTTCAAGACGTTTTGACATCTGTCTTAGTGCCTGCTATTAATTTAGTAATCACTGTAGTTAAAAATGTATGGGATTTTTGCCGTCGGAGCGCCCCGTCTCCGGCGCGCGGGCCCGGGGTTGGGCGGCGTCAGGGAGCCGGGCCCTCCGGGAACGCAGCCACCTTGGGAGGGGAGCCGGCCTCTGGAGCGCGTTGACACTGCGAGGATTAAAGGGGTATCTGGTTATTTTGATTTCTTGTGGAGGATGGTGGCTGTCCCCCTCCCCCACCCGCGTACCCTCCCCACTCTCCCCACCCCAGCCCTGCACCTCCACCTCACAGAAAAGCGTTCAGCCCCGGGTGCCCGGGCAGAGGACTTGGTCAGGTCAGCTCCAACTAGGGCGGGGGGTGGGGTCTGGAGTTGTCTCATTTGGGGTAGAGAGAGGGAGACAGACCCGCAAAGAGAGCCGGGCCCTCATGGTCACTAAGAATTTCTCAGTCCAAAACGCCCTTGACAATGGGAGAGTCAGCCCTACTCAAATGAGTCCCCAACGTGGACTCTGCTGCCCAGAGCCCGGTGGCCTCGGGCAGAGGTGACCTGGGTGCTGGGGAAAGACAGAGGGGAAAATGTGAATTAGCTCCAGTGACTGTGCACGGGGCAGTCGGGGATGTGAGAAACCCAGTTGCTTTTCCGCTTGCGTGATAAACGTTGCAACGGACGCGGGCATGGCCATGCCCAGGCAGTTTCTGAAATCAGACAAGCAGAATGGGAAGCAGCCTGTGGAGCTGGAAAGGAATAGCAAACATTTCTAGCTCTAAAAGGCTATTCTTTGTGCTCCGAGAGAGAGCTTAGATAAAACTCTCCAGAGGGAGAGGAGCGCCCAAGGCAGAGGGCATCTCCGTTGCAGGGATTTGTGAAAGTTACACTTGGGGTTTGAGAGAGGGAGTCAGTGCCGGGACAGACAAGCGTGGGGAAAGAAAAGCGGCCTTGGGGGGGACTGCATTTCCCACAAAGACTATGTGACTCCAAAGTGATTTTCACTCTTTATTGTTCCAAACATCCACAGCAACAAAATGGCCAGGAATGAGAGGTATCTTGAAAAAAAGAAAACGGCGCAGTGCTTCTCCCCTAAAGAGAAGGAATGCTTCCCTGCTCACACCCTCCACACCCTCCGTTTCTAGGGCAACTGCATCTGCCAAGCCGAGTCCTGCTGGGGCATTTTTGGGGTGGTTCATTTCTTCCTCACAAAATGGACCCCCTTGGCCCCTTGGAGGGTGGTCATCCGACTTGCTGGCCCAGAAAGTCGCCTTTCTTCTTCTTCTTTTTCTTTGTCTAAATGAATCTTCCAGAACTTACCCTCTTCTTTCAGATGAGAGGGAGAGGCTCAACAAGAGAACTCAAAAGAGAAAAAGTAGGGAAAGGAGGTGAAGTAGAAGGAGGGCCACTGCCTGTTCCGCCTGAAACCCCAAGATAGCCTCTGTCTGGAAAAGTTCTTAGGCGGCGGGCAGGCAAGCAAGCCAGCAGCGGGACACAAGCCTGTGCCCTTGCCAGGCCCAGAGCAATTCTGGCAATCTCTCTTTGCAGCCCCCCAGCCTGGGGGTGGGAAGCAGATGGCAAGAACCCCCCAATATTTCACAAAGACAATCAGTGTAATAAGCTAAACAAATGCACTTGCTTTGGGGAGCTCTCAGGCAGATTTATTTGATATGCGGGGCATTGGGATGGAATTAGGGGTGGTCAACTGGTTGTTTGCGACAATCAAATTTGGGATACCAGTGAAAGGGCTAAAATAAGGGCTCTCCCACTTCTGGAACCCCGGTTAGGGCTGAGTGTTCCCCTCAGGTATTAGGAAGGATCTCATTAGGAATGCTCTCCACCCGAGCCCTCCTGTAGAACACAGTCCCTGGGACCGAAAATAACAAAACCAAAAGAGTCCCAGTGGAAATGAATCTTCCCTGCATTTCCCTCTTCTGGGTGTCTCCAACAGAGTAGAGGGGAAGGCATAAATAAATAAATAAATAAATAAGGAGGGGTTGGCTTTGGGGTGGATGAGGCTGTTGGTTCTTTCCAGTTGCTAAGACTCCACAGAAAACCTTTCACCCAGTGGACACAGCAAAGTTTCTCCCTTCAGGGCAACGTGCCTCTGAACAGAAGCCCTTGGCCAGGCGGCCAGGAGTCCTCCTCTCCCTCTTCCTATACGTTTGCTTATGTGTTGGAGACCCTCCGTGAGAGCACTGGTTTTTGCCATCATCGGGACAACTGGATGTGCAGCCATGCGCTGGAATAGCTTATCCCTGTGGACATTTTATTCCTCAAATGCTGCTCTTAGTGTCCCTTGATTCTCCCATGTGTATCCAGGTACAATTGCATATACGTTTTGTGCACTGATGACTCAGCTTGAGCCTGGGCAGGAAGCCCTGGTCCGCTCAGGGAGGTGCGCGAATTCCAACGTTGTGCTTTGGGTGGGGTGCAAGGTTAACGAGGTTTCCCAGACCTCCCGGCTTTTACGTACACCTTCTTCAGCCCAATTCACCTTTGCCGGAGAGACAGGGATCCCCTGAGACGATCCTGTGCCCTGCAACTCTTTGGAACCCTCCAGGGTCCTAGATTAGCGGCAGGACTGAGCCGAACGGGGGGCTTAAGGACTGAGGTTGGGAGGCACTTCTCAGTTCAAGGCTGAACCCGCCACCCAGGCCACCTCGCAGTTGAATGCCCCCTGGGTCTCTGGGGACCCAGTTGTGGGAGCGCCTCGGGGCGAGTGATACGCACTTTCGGGGACTGAGCTCGCCTCCCTGGCCTCCCGGGAGCAGAGCTGTATTTGTAACTGGGAACTGGCCTGGGCCCGCCCCCTCGGCCCCTCCTCCAGCCCCCTCCGCGACGCGCGGCAATCAGCCGGCTGCCGCAGCACGCGTCCTGGCCACCCCCGAGCGCCCCCGGGCCGCGCGATCCCGCAGGGTCCCTGGCGTGGCCTAGGGAGGAAGGGGATCCGGAAGACTAGCCTGCGGCTCTCTGGGGCGGTCTTGCGAAGTATTCCTTCGCGGGTATCCCGCAGGCGGGCCGCGCGCCTGCGGGTCCTCGGCCGACTGGAACGCTGACCTCGGGCGTTCTGGGGGCGAGGGGGGTGGCGTGTGCGCGCGCGTTCTCCTGCGACGGGAAGCAAGTCCTCGTGTCTTCCTGGAATCTTGTAGCTGTGTGTTCTTGCGGGTGTGAGAGAGAAAGAGGCGGACTCGCGGCTAACTTCAGGTCAGTTTGTGCACAAAGGGCCAATGCTAGCCCGAAGGTCGGTCGCTATGTCTGTCCTTCGAACTCGCCCAAAATGAAGTCACCTCTCCCCCAACCCCCTTGCAGCCTCCCCGGTCGGATCAAAGGGCCAAGGCCCCAGATGCCTGGAGGACTGAGGCCCTCCATGTGCACTCTGGCGTTCCGACACCCCAAGGGCCAAGCTGCCCTGGGGCCCCGCTCAGAATCAGGTTAGAAGCCCTAAGTGGGAAAGGAAGACCCGGAGAGCTACCCTCAGATCCACTGCCCAACCCCAGTGCATGGGACCTACCGACCTGCTGACCCCGTCAGGGATCCAGATTGGCCGCGGTGGGAGGGAGGGATGGAGAGTTGGGTTGCTACTGGAGGGACGTGGAGATGGAGAGAGGGAAGAAAAATCAGACTGGTGAGGATGGGGTGGAGATGAAGTGGGGGCTGCTTCCGAGACCTCCGGCTTTTCACCCTGCCATGGGGAGGTGGGTCGAGCGGCATTGCTGCCACACCACCCCAGGAAAAATAAAGCTAATGATGTAGTAATTTAGGAGGGGGTGAGGGGCTGGACCCAAGGAGGGAGGGGGAGAGAACAGGGGAATGCGCGCCCCAGGAGCGAAAGCAAACAGCTCGCTGTGGAGGCGCTGCCTGCGGCTCAGGCTTCCCAACAGGTTAGCAAGACAAGGATCCACCCGGCATTTCGCAGGAAGGGGGGGGGGGGAGCAGAGCGAGAAGGGAAGAGAGCCTTGATAGAGGACAGAGGGCGGGAGGGAACAAGAGAGGAGCGAGAGAGCGCACCGCGCCGTTTAACAGGAGACTTACTCTTCCTAATGAATATTTATCCGCCGCTGCTCCACTCTCCCGGCTTCCCTTACCTTTCCGCAGGTAAGATCCTCCCTGTGCCCCAGTCCCAGGAGCCCTCCCGGCTCCCCTAGGCGGGGCGCGGGAAACGGGGCGGGAGGGCTCCTGGCAGGCGGAGTGGGGGCTGCAGGGGTGGCAGCTCTACTCCGCGCTTGGCTTGGGCGCCGGGGCATGCGACCCCACACGGCCAGGAGCCGCGTGCGTGGGCTACCTGTGTGGAATGGGTGTGAGCGCGCGTGTAAGAGCGAGAGAGCGAGAGGATGGGGTGGGGGAGGGCGGCGGGAGGCTGTGCGCCCGCGAGCGCGCGCTCCTGTTCATGGCGCGCTCTGGGGACATTTTTCCGACTTTTCACTGGGACGCCTCGGATTTCTCGCCTTTGCCTCTCCCTGCTTCCCTTCCCCCTCTTCTTGGCCCCCTCCCCATATCCCCCATCTCACCCCTACCCCTGGCTACTGAGATGCTCTTCTGTGGGCTATTGTACCGCTGGCGCGGGCTCCCTCGGACCGGATCTCAGGTCTCATAAAAGAGGATGAATAGTTCGGTTTCCGCCGTCAACCTCAACACAAAGACCGCCCGCCCACCGGGTCCCCTGTCTCCCCACCTGGTGGCTTCACTTTGGAGGTGCTGCGGCCCTCCCTCCTCCCCCCACAGCCCTCTTGGGGTGCCAGGGCTCGCATCAAGGAGCTAAGAGTGATCGCGACCTGGGGCTACGGTATGGAACTTCGCAGGCGCTTCCTGCCAGCTTCCCTGGGTTGGAACCCCGAGCCGGAGCCCGAAGACCCTCACGGGTAAGGGCACTGCTTCTTACCCCAACTCCCTCATCCTGGCCAGCACTGGCCTGCTGGGGGGAGGGAGGAGAAGGGGTCTGGGAAGGGCTGACTATGTAACCCGAATTCTTTAAACCGACTTACCCAGACACCTGTTGAGAATCCATCTGGGGTTGCGGCTCCGAAGCTGTGCGAAGTGGGCACACAAAACCAAAAGCCAGAGTTGGGAAAAGAAAATTGTTCCTCTGACCGAACCTCACAGGGCCAGTCAGGCTCCTGTCGGCTGGCTTTGCCAGGTCCCCGCCCCGCCCCCAGTGCCCCCCTCAGCCTGGTGGCCCCGGACTCAGAGCCCGCAGACTCTGCGCTCAGGGCCGGGCCCTGGCAGCTCTCCTTAAGCCGGGACAGGCTTTCTAAGCCCTGCTCAGAAGTCAAGAGCAGCAGCGCCGCCGCACCGCCTGGCCTTTCATGCCGCAGCCGCTCCTTATTCTTGTGCCTCGGCCTCTCCGGGTGCCCCGGGACAAAGCTCCTGGAGCCCGATAGCTCCCTTCCCGCTAAATCCCCTTCGGGGTCAGTGCGTCACCAGCACCGGGCCCTGCGCCTCTCCTGCCAGCCCTGTGGCTCTTAAAGAGCCGCAGCCCCCCCCCCCCCATACACACCCTTGGCGATCCCCCCACCCCAGCCTCCCCGCCCCTCTCCTCTGGATCTAGCTCCCCACGCCAGCCTGCTGCCCCAACGGATGCCCGCAGGCTTCTGGCCCCCTCCCCTCGCCTCCTCCCCTGAGCAGTCGGTGGGCCTGGCTTCGGGGCCACAGGGTGAGTGCTACCCTCCGCCTCAGTCCTCTTTTCTCTCCACCAGTGTCCACCTTCACTTCTCTACCTCTATTTTTGCTCTTTCCCTGGACATGGCCTAGATACCTGCCTTTGACACCAGCTCAAAGGTGATCCCTAAAGATGGTCGGTTTGGGTTGTGGGGCAGGGTCTTTGCTGGTCCAGCTGAAGATGGGGTGGGTTGAATAGACCAGACAGACTTGGAGGGTGCCCCTGTCAGAGGCTCCTTGTCTTTTTGGCACATGGCGAAGGCTGGTTTGTTCCACTCCCTCCTGGACCTGGGCACCCTGGAATGGGGCTGTGAGGTTACTAAATGACCAGGCTAGCTGTGTGTCTGAGAGCTTGTGGGTATACACAAGGAGGTGGTCCGGAGGACCTTCAGTATGGCCTGCTTCCCAAACCCAGGGCACTAACCCCTTCCAAAGTAACTTCTAAGAGACCAAGCGCTGGAGGTGCACAGAGGGTGTGAGAGGGGACCTTGAATTCCAGTTGTGCAGGAAAAGGAGCAGCAGAGGACAGAGGGGACAGAGAGAAGTCAATTCCTTCTGAAAACTGAAGCACGATTTCTAATATGGTGTCTCATGTTTACTGGCCAAGCAGGTCACCTGCTCCAAGAACAGGGGCAGCAAATGGTCACTTGGGTTTGCTACCTTCCACAGTTTTGCCTCTTGTCCTCTCACCAGGGCCTAGACTAGGTCCAGTCTCCCCCAGGGAGCCACGTGGTCTAGGCACAGGGTGGCCCTGCCTGGAGCACTGTCTCCAGGCCTCCCCAAGACTGACAGCATGATTAAAGACAGGCCAGAGAAGGGCCGGGCTGGGTGGGACACACTGCTGCCCTCCTGCCCACATTTGACTATGTGGGCTCTGCGGATGGGGGGAGGGCGGGCAGTGATGGGTCAGGCGGCTAAGCCTGCCCAGCCTTTCTCAGAGCCCAGCCCTAGCACACCAGTTTTGGCTATGGGAAGAGGATTGGTGGAGGAAAGTGCGTGGCCTCCTGGGTGGTGGAGACCAAAGGGACATGGGGAGGGGGAGGAAGGCTGAGGACAGGCTGACCTCCCCTGGGCACATTCCCTGTGCCATTCCAACATTAGTCCAGATGCACCTTTTAAGGAACTGCGGTTTCTAATTGATTTACAATTGGCCCTCCTGGGAGAGGCTGCCAGCGCACCCCCTGGGCTAGATCCTGAAGCCACAGAAGCCACTCCTCCCATCCCCAGCCAGGGTAGCTCCACAACCCCTAAGTCTGCCGTTCCCCCTCGCTTTTTTGGGGCTGGATCCTCACTGCCATCTAGGCTGGGCCTGTGCCTACCCCTCCCTGGGCCTGGCAGTGGGAAGTGCCGGGGGCCCAAGGCAGAGCCAAACTTCTCTTGTGTGAGGATGTGGGGGGCGGCGGCGGGGCTCATTAGGCAGAGCGGGGTGCCGAGAGGTGCGCGCGGCTGGCCCCCGAGGCCGCCTTTGAGCCGTCGGGGCGGCTTCATTAAGCGGCGCTAACAAGGCATACAAACGCCGGGCCCAGCAGCTTTCTTGCAATGCTGGGGCCTTAGCAGGGCGCCAGGCTAATGAGGGTCACTCAAAGGGGCTGATCAAATATTCAAATTTCCCCGCACGCCGGGAACTTTTATGCACGGAGAAAGTTGAGGCAACTGAGCTGTGTTTACTGTCCGGGGCGACAATTGCTTGGAGCGCGGGTCCCCGGAGGCTAAGGCAGGGGGCGGGGGCGCGGGGAGGGAGCAGTTGTTTTTGAAAGGGAAGTAATCGGGGTCCTTGAAGGGCTTCGCGGCCTCCCCGCCTGCGTGCGGCGCTCCCCGGCGCCCTCCCTGGCCGTCAACGCCAAGCGCCGCAGTTTGCAGCTTGCGGGGAGGCCCAGACCTCGGGCCACCCGGCCAGCCTCCCGCCTCCGCACGTCCAGGGGGCCGGAAGGGGCGTTGCCCCCAGGACAAACCTTCCAGGGCCGCCCTCGGGCCGAATCCTTGTCTCAGCCGCTCTGCAGATCCCCTAGCTTTCCCTTGAAACCCGAACGAAGAGCGTGGGGCTCACTCAGGCACCGCTGACGTCTGTAAACAAATGCCCGCTTGGTCCAGGTACGAGGGGGCACACTCTGCAGTCCAAACGCGCTGTCCTCTCCCTGCGCCATCTGAACGCTGTCTTTCCTAGCGCCGGGAATGGTACTGGTGTGGGGACAATAGCGGCAATTTTGTTTTGCACAGGTGACCTCGGCCTGTACCGGGCGCCGAATCTCAGATCTTGGAGTCTTGAGCGGCCAAGGGGCAGTGGAGGGGCCCAGAGGCCCCGCAGGCTGGCCTGTTCCCCCACTGCCTCGCCGCTCTGAGGGACCGGGCGCTGGTGCCCTCCGCGCGCCACTTCCGTGTGGAGTGGTCCTCGCGCTGCCCAAAGGCTTAGGCCCAGACCGGGGAGCAAGGCGGCTTGGGCCTTGAAACCCGAGGTCCTTCTGCTCCTACTCCTTCCCCCAGTGCCCAGTGCCTCGGAATTTGGGCGGGGAACTCCGGTGCTCCACAGTCTCCCACGCTACCCGAACGCACTGAGCGCCCCTAGAGAGAGCGAGCCTGCCCAGCCTGCGCTCCTAATCCCGCCAGCAGCCTGCAGCCGGTGTGGCCAGCCGCGCCATGGACCAGCCGCCCCGCCTCCCTGCCCAGCGCTCCGGACTCAACTTACGGGCTCCAGGCGGCGGGCGTGGTACTTCGGGCCAGAGCCCAGAGGCGCTGGCGGCCGCAGGGCTGAGCGGTGGCGGCTCGGTGGGCGGCGCGGAGCTAGGCTCTGCGGGGAGGCGCGGACAGCCGCTCGCCCCGCAGCGCCGGGCTGGCTCCCGGTGCACAAAGCTGCGCGCCTTGCCGCCGCCCTCCGCCTGGCTTTGCGCTCCGGAGCCGCAGCCGTCACCGGAGCTGGCGGGATGCTGCAGGTCCGCGGGCGCCCGCACACAGGCTGGAGGGCGGTGATGCCGCCGAACAGAGTCTTAGCCGCGCTTGCCTCAATTCTCCCCGAGTGAAGACGGTTTTCGATTTCAGCGCTTTCGGCGGAGCCCCGCGGCACCTGCCCAGCCTCCCTCCGGCGCGGGGCCGGCAGCGGCCGGGAGAGGCCGGGTCTCCCCCTCCCGGAGGCGGGGGTTTCGGGGACGGGAGGGGACTGGCCGGGTTCACCCGCCTGCCCGGCGCCTGGATCCCCAGCTCCGGGGGATGCAGTTTCGGGGTCACGAGCTGCTTTCAAAAAGTTGAACACAATATTCGGAAACCCACCCGTAGGAATTCTCCCCCCACACGCGGCACAATACCCACTCCCCTCCCTTTTTTCATTCCTTCCTCCCCCGCTTCCTCCTCCTGCCCCTTCCCCCTCCCACCTTTCAGCCTATAATCCTTCCCCTACAAGAGAAAGGGATCGGGAAGAAAAGATGAAGTGTCTGTTTTTGTGTCCCAACCTTTGGGCTCTTTCTGGGCCCCGCAGTGAACGATTGCCCAGAGCTTGGAGGCTGAGTGCAAAAGGACTTGGGCTCGGGAGGAAGGCCCATGGAGGGGAGAGGCTCTGGAAGCGGGCCCTGACCAGCCTTCCCTTTAGGGGAGCAGTTGTGTGCCCCAGTCCGCGGGTTTAGGACCCGCCGCCCCCGGACTGCCTCCGCTGCGGCGAGGCAGAGTAAGCGCTGGCAGCTCGCCTGACCCGGAGGGGCTTGCGTGCCTGGGCTCTGGCCCTCTGAGGCCTGGCACCCCTGGAGTCGAGGCCTAGGTAGGGCCTCCGCTCTGGGTTTAGGGGCTGGGACACTCGCCGCCCCAGTCACGTTAGGTTTCCCATTTAAATTCTCAGTCTCTTTTCTGCTCCCTCTTTGAGATCTCCAAAGTGGTGTGGACCCGGCGCTGCGCCCCCAGATCTGCATCGGAATGCAGAAAAGATCTTAAAAAAAAAAAGTTTTGAATTCCTCAATGATTTTTCTTCTGGAAAGGCAGCTTAGGATAATTATTTCAGCTTTATTGAGGGCAGATTAGTTGAAGTCTGGGCCCTGCGTTTCAATACGCGTTGTACACGGGCCCACAATGTGAGCATTGTTGGCTGGTGTGTGTGAACCCATTCAACATATACACTTTTTAACACCAAACCGAGTCCTGTCTAAATATACACAGTGTGCCGGGAAAGACGCCTCTGACCCGACAAATCTGCGTAAATCACACTTCCATAGTTACAGAAGCTTCACAAAGGGAGGCCAGCCCAAGACGCTGATTACCTCTTCTTAAAAGCAACCTACCTAAGAATAAATACCCCTGCCTGGCCAGAGGGAGGGAGGCCCTCCGTGCTCCCTGGACCTTCCGGGGCCTGGCTTAGGCGTGCGGTGTCACTTGCCCTACAGAAAGCAGATATTATTTTTATTCACAATACAAACACACAAGAACGTTCAGGCCTCATCCGCTTCCCTGGGGTGGTCTCCAAAGTTTGAGCTTTCTGCTGATCTTGGGGGGGGGGGCAGGCCCAGAGCTCCTTTCTGGTGTGTGTGGGGGGTGGGGGTAGGGGTAGGGGTGGAGGAGCCTGTCCATCTGCAAGATTCCCTGGGGTCCAGAAGGGCTCTCCCCAGCTCCTGCACAACTCTTCTGGGAGGCAGCTCAAGTGTGTGTGTTGGGTGGGTGGGGGGGGACACAAAGAATCTGGTGGCTGTTTGAGATGGAGGAAATGTAGTGTTGTTTCCTGCTTTAGAAGAGAAGCCTCCTAGTCCTGGGGCAGAGTAAAAGGAAGCACCATCACTGTCCAGAGGCAGCTGGGGTGAAAGCAGTCCACCAGCACCAAGTGCGGAGGTCGGAGCGGCCTCCTGCACCCCGGTCCTGGGCGCCGGCTCCCTGGGGTCAGAGGCCCACTAGAATCCCGAAGCCCTGGCGGGTGCTGAGGCTCAAGAGGTCGCTTCACAGTGGGCCCCATGATCTCATCTGTCCTTTCTTCCTGCCCACTGTTAGTGCTCACATAAGCAGAAAGAGCAGGCTCGACGTGTGCACCACGTCCAAACCGGGCCGGCTCAGCCGGCTCCCGGCCTCTCCAGGCAGCCACCCTGCCTGCCCTCGGCAGGGTTAGGGAGCTGCTTGCCTGCTAACGAAATCCCCCATGTAACTGCTCATCCCATTCAAGTATTCTGTGCCCATGGCTTTTGGAATTTCTGGATCAACTTCTTTGGGGCAGAGGGAAGAAGGAAAGAGGGAGAGAGCAAGAACGGGAGAGATGTGGGGGAGATTTAGAGTTGCAAAGATTTAAAAAAATTCTCTTTCCCCCTGTCTCCCTCCTTCCTTCCTTCCCTCCTCTCCCCCTCCCCCTCACTCTGGCTAAGTGGTAAAACCGTCCTTACGTTCTCGGTATTGATTGGCAGGGCTGACAGTGATTGGCAGCGGTTGCCGTGGCAACGCCACAACGACACGCCGCAGACCAATAGAAAAGCGAAACAAAATGTTTCAATGCTGCACTCACTGTGGATTTAGGGGAGATATTATGAGGCTGTTGTCATTAGGGCGATTGCTGTGGAATCGCTGAATCTTGACTCGGCGGTGGTTGGCTCTCGCTCGCTCGCTCCCTCTCCCTCTCCCTCTGTGTCTCTGGTGCTGTCTGCGCGCGCGCACCGGGCCGCTTTCCCTCCTGCCTCTCTATGTGGCTGCGCGGGTGTGTGTGTGTGTGGATGTGTGTGGGGTGTGGGTGTCCCTTACGTCCTTCCTCCTCCCCCTCCTCCTCCTCCTGCTCCCCCCTCCTCTCCCTCTCCTCCTCCCCCCTCTCCTCTCCCTCCTCCTGGTCCTCTTCGCCCCTCTCCTCCTCTTCCTCCCCTCTCTCTTCCTCTCCCTGAATTTTCTCCTCTCCTCTCAGGTCAGTCCATGGTATTCCGCTCCCCCTTAGACCTCTATTCCTCCCACTTCTTGTTGCCAAACTTCGCCGATTCTCACCACTGCTCCCTACTTCTGGCGAGGAGCGGCGGCGGGAACGGCGCGGGCGGCGGCGGCGGCGGCGGCGCGGGCGGCGGCGGCGGCGGGAACCGTGCGGGAGGCGGCGGTGCTGGCGGAGCAGGCGGCGGCGGCGGCGGCGGCGGCTCCAGGGCCCCCCCGGAAGAGTTGTCCATGTTCCAGCTGCCCACCCTCAACTTCTCGCCGGAGCAGGTGGCCAGCGTCTGCGAGACGCTGGAGGAGACGGGCGACATCGAGCGGCTGGGCCGCTTCCTCTGGTCGCTGCCCGTGGCCCCCGGGGCGTGCGAGGCCATCAACAAACACGAGTCGATCTTGCGCGCGCGCGCCGTGGTCGCCTTCCACACGGGCAACTTCCGCGACCTCTACCACATCCTGGAGAACCACAAGTTCACCAAGGAGTCTCACGGCAAGCTGCAGGCCATGTGGCTCGAGGCGCACTACCAGGAGGCCGAGAAGCTGCGCGGCCGTCCCCTCGGCCCAGTGGACAAGTACCGCGTGCGCAAGAAGTTCCCGCTGCCGCGCACCATCTGGGACGGCGAGCAGAAGACGCATTGCTTCAAGGAGCGGACTCGGAGCCTGCTGCGGGAGTGGTACCTGCAGGACCCCTACCCCAACCCCAGCAAGAAACGCGAACTGGCGCAGGCCACCGGCCTCACCCCCACACAAGTAGGCAACTGGTTTAAGAACCGGAGGCAGCGCGACCGCGCCGCGGCGGCCAAGAACAGGTCAGTGGAGGGGTCTGAGGCCTGGCTGCAGCTTCCGGGCCGGGGAAGAAAGGGGCGAGGGTTGAAATGGGGCGAGCGGGACGTGGTAGAGAGCCATCCAGCGCCCGAGAAGCGGCTGCTCCCCGGCCAGTTGGAGAAAGTTTCCGTCTGCCCCGGCGGGCGCGCGGCAGAGGGGGCGGGTTGTGGGGTTGCCGTTTGCCGTGCCCGACAGAGACTTTAATCCGGGCCAAAAGGGTGTGCCTGCGGCGCCGAGTGCCCTCACCTCGCGTCCCCGGGCCTCAGCCCCTGGGAGCCTCCGCGGCGAGCCGCCCCCGCGCCCTCCTCAACCCCGGCTCCTGCCCCGAGCTTCTCCGAGTCTGGAGACAGGGAGGGAAGGAATGTACTCCTTGCCATCTGGTGCTTATTTCCATGCATTTAAAAAAAAAAAAAAGGACTTTGCCATGAACACCAGGGAGAGAAAAGTGTAACTGGGTCCTCGTCACAAAGGGAAAGGCCAGAGGCCCGCTGCGGTGGCCTCCTCCCCGCAACATTGCGCGTAGCCTATCCCGGAGCCGGAGAGCCAGGCTGGAATGGAGAGGCCGAGTGGGCGCGCAGCAGCGTGCACACGGCATGCACCTGCCAGGGAGCATCCCTGTGGTCTGCTGAGTTGGGAAGGGGTCAGGAGCAGCTTGCTTCGGGGAAGTTGGCCACAAAGTCACAAAGTTGTATTGGGCTTGACCCTCAGCCGACAAGGCCTGGGGGAAACAGGGAGAAGAGGGAGTAGAGGGAAAGGGGGCAGGGGGAAAGGAATGGGGGGCAGAGGGGGAAGGAAGGGAGGAAGCTGGGAGAAAGCCCTTGTTTTGGAACCTGTGTCTCCTGCAGCCAGGGCTGCTCTGGGCCTGCTATACGGGGCAAGCATGGCCGCCCCCTGCTACTGACAGCTGTGGGTAGCTAGAGGGTGGTGGGTGAGTTGCCAGAGTGTGTTCTGGTATAGGGGGCCCATGGCCCTCTCACCCCTGCCTGTGGACCCAGTTTTCGCCTAAGGAGGGGAGTGCCCAGGGCCAGGGGGAGGCATCCTAGTGGGAGATGCTGGGGCAGATGGTGACCGCTCCATGCCTCTCTCTCCTGCCTTCTCCATCATCTGGTTCTTTCTCCTTCCTCTTTCTCCACGTTCCCATTTCCAGCCTCCCTAATTTTCTCTTCCCCTGATCCTGCGCTCTGAGCGGGGATCCAGAGAGCAAAGTCAGTGTGCCCTACCCAAGAGGAGCTGCGGCCGAGAAATCCGCAGCTGGCGAAGGGGGGGGGGGGGGCAGCAGGGGCGGGAGGCCCTCCGGAGGCAGCCTGCTTAGGGTGAAGAACCCCCGGGGACTAGAGGGAAAGGCGGCCCCAACCCCAACTTCCGCGGCCCTGGGGCTCAGCGTCTTTTGCTGTGCTCCCAGGCCTCCGCAGGCGGCCGGGCCCGGGTGCTACCTTTCCGCTGAGGCCCACCCCATACCCCGGAAGCCTCGGGAGGCCCGCGGAAAGCCGCTGGGAGCCGGGACCCGCGCTGGGGCGGCGGGGAGGCGCTCTAGGAGCTGCTGGGACGAACGCCCAGAGGGCAGTCGGGGATGGCGGCAGGGCGCGCGGGACAGGGCAGGCCGGGAAGCGCGGGCGGTGGCAGGCCCGGCGGCTCCTGGCGGCGTAGGCGCTGGGCGGCGGCTCGGGGGAGCCGGGTGCGGGCCGCTGTGTCAGGGCGGGCGCGGCTCTCTCTCTCCGCAGGCTCCAGCACCAGGCCATCGGACCGAGCGGGATGCGCTCGCTGGCCGAGCCCGGCTGTCCCACGCACGGCTCGGCAGAGTCGCCGTCCACGGCGGCCAGCCCGACCACCAGCGTGTCCAGCCTGACGGAGCGCGCGGACACCGGCACCTCCATCCTCTCGGTAACCTCCAGCGACTCGGAATGTGATGTATGATAGCCAAGGCCGCCCTCCTCCCCCTCCCCTCCTCCCCCTCGCCTCCCCTCCTCTTCCTTGCCCTCCTCCTCTTCTTCCTCTTCCTCCTCCTCCATCCCAGAACGAACCGAAATCAGGATACACAACCACATACACATGTCCACACACTCCCGCCCCAGTCAAAAATATACACAAACCAAGCAAAATAACAGATTACTACAAACCATCAACAACCCCCGACCACCATCTCCGGCGAGGCCAACAGACGGTCGCAGACGCTGCTGTTGGGCAGAAAACATAAAAGAGGTGACAATTGTGTACTTTCCAGGACAAGCGCGGCTTCTCCTTTCGGTTCCCACGGACCCGGCACCCCACCTGCATGACGATTCATTTGTATCTGGGAAAATATTCTCTCTAGTTTAAAACGGTCTAAAAAGAGTCGACTGTACAAAAACCAACCACCACCGCGACGGAAGACGACAAAACGACAAAAGCGACACAGACAAAAAGAAAAAAAAAAAAAAACACCACCATCTCCTTTCTGAATTTGTTTAAAAAAAAAAAAAAACTCTTTGAGAGGGAAATAGCAAATGTTTCTCGCCTTTTGTTGCTCTCTCTCTCTCTTTTTCCTCCTCGCTCTCTTTCTTTCTCTTTCTCCTCTGTTTTTAAGTCCAAGTATTGGTCCAACAAGATGCAATCTTCTGTTTTTTGTTCAGCAGACAATCATTTTCTTCGTAAGCACCTTTTTCTCTCCACTCTGTCACTGCCTGTGTGGGTACTGGTTATAAATGTGGAAAAAGAATAGTTATGACTGTAACAGATTTTTATTTTTATTTCAAAATTTTATATGAATTATGTATATCTTAATGATTGGTCATTTTCCCAGTTTGTAATATATGTGTAGAAATTGCCTGTATATGATATTGCTTTTTCTCTCCCTTTTTCTTTCTTTCTTCTCCCACTTCCCACCTCCCTCCCTGCTCACCTGTCTCTTTCCTTTTTTGGGGTTCCCCTCCTGGCTTGCTGGGTGTCCCAGCCTCGCCGGGCCCTTCTGGGACAAGGCAGGGCAGGCTGGGCTGGGAAGAGGGACCCCGCCGCTAGCAGAAGCGGAGAGTGAGACCGTAGTATACTTATGCAAAAGCTATTTCAAGTATTTCTTAGCTGCTCTGGAGGTATCTCTCACCCCCCTTAGGGCGCTTCTACTGTTATCTTAACTGCGTGTTTATCTATATGTAAAAACTTTCTAAAGCAAATACAGTATTCTCCATTTTCTTATCACTCCCACAGACTGGTGCTTTTGTTCGCCTTGGCCCTCGGCTCCTCTCTCACTCGGCCGCCGCTGGAGCTGGGGCGAGGTTGCCAGGCTGGGGACGAGCTTGTCGCGGGAGTTGGGTGGGGAGATGGACACAGGCCCTTTGGGGAAAGAGCCAAAGAGGGTGCGGCGGGGAGGGGACGACAGCCGGAGTGGCCAGGTCCCGCAACCCCACAGGCGCGCGCTCTGCCCTGTGGGGCTTTGCGGTATGTTGGGGGGCTATGTTGCTTTGTTTTTTAAAAGGAGGAGCACACAGGTGGCCAGACCGAAAGCATCCGACCCAAGCAGAGCTGAGAGGGTTTGTCTTTCTCCTCTCCAGGGAGGGGGCGTGTCGGGGAGGGACTGGTAACTGTGGCCCGGTGGGGACCGTGTGGAGAGCCAGGGCAGAGGGAAGGAGGTCCTGGGCAGAGTTCAGGGCCTCCTCACTCACTGCCCTGTGCCTCTGCGACTGTGAGAGTAGCTTTTGGCTGCCTGTCTGTCTCTCTGATATTTTCTTTCCCAGCTTTTGGGATCAGCCCTGAGTCTCTTGAGCTCCCTAACATTTCCAAGTAGTTCTGTACTTTAAAATGAAAGCCGAACAAGAGGGAGAGAAAAGAAAAGAAAGAAAGTCACCACCTCTTGCTAACCACGTTGCCCCCAGACAGTTCCCCGAGATGGCATGGCTGGAGGTACTTCTGCCACTCAGGGCAAGGGTGGCCTCTGTCCCCCAAGGAGGAGCCAAAGAGGTCATTTCAGAAAGCTTGCCTTCACTCGAAAGTCCGGTTTCCAGGCACAGAGGATTAGGGAGAAACGTGCCCGGAATTTCACGCTGGTTTCCAAACCAATTTTGACTTCCAATTTCCGTTTGTCCCCATCCCAGGCGGCACCAGGGGAGCCATACTGGCCTGAGGGTGCACTGCTTTCTCGCGTGGGCCCTTGTGTGCCAGGCGGGCATTTCCATGAGGCAGATGGCTCCAAGGCATCCGGCTATCCTCTGGGGCTTCCCACTTCTGTAGGCTGGCACGCAGCATCAGAATTGCACGTGTTCACAGCCGGGGAAAGCATCCCTTGTACGGGCACGTTTCTGGCAGTAGGGACCCAGGTGGTAGGGGTTTGGGGAGGAGCTGCCGGGATTCTGCCTGGCTTGAGCCTCCGTTCCCAGATGAGGGGCCCTGTCACACACTCCCATCGTTAGACAGCCCTGCACACTTGACCTAGAGCTCTCGCCTGGACATCCAAAGAGGCTGCTTCGGTGGAATCTGGCTGGATGTGTTCCCATCAACTCACCAGAATTGGTGGGTGGCAGGAGAGAGTGGCTCTGTTGGAGGAAGGCCCTGAAGGTCCTCAGCCAGTGACACCTGGAGCAGGTACTCTTTTTGTCTTGCGACAGAGGACAAACCTGATTTAAAATGCTTCGTTTCTCAACATACCTGGCAGAGAAAGCAGGTTTGGGGTATCTGGTTGATGCCTACTCCACTGCAGAAGACAGGGGACCAGAGTCCACACAGCTTTTAGCCCGGAGGGCTTGGGCCCTGTCTGTTTTGCTATCATTTATCACCTAGGTCGTGGTTATGTTTCCTCCTAGTTCTGCACAAACACTTACGGGCAGATTGCTTGCAGTGGGTGGTGTACATGTGTGCAACACCGAATGCTAAGGTTTTCACCAACCAAGGTCTGAGTACAAAATGGTTTGTGTGTGTGTGTGTGAGTATATTTGGTACAAATGGATGCCCAGTATATTTTCATTATATTGCATAGTATATATATGTATTTGTATGGGCTTGGACAGTTTACACCCAGTTCTGCCAGGCATATTAGGTAGGGCACACATAGGACGCTGTGTGTGCAGGACCTTTCTGTGCAGTGGACGTGGGTCTTGTGGGTTTCCCTTCTGGTCTGAGCCGCGGGGTGAGTTTCCTTGCAGTCAACCCACTGCGATGGCCCTCAGGTTGTCCATCCCAAACAAGCTTTCCTGTTCCCAGAAGAAGTGCAGGATCACAGGGGTATTTATTGACTGGAGGGCAGAGGAAAATTGGGCTCTGGTTTTCCCAGTCCAACATTTATCCTGATACATTGGGCATGGTAGGGAGGATTTGACCTCTGCCCCTTTAAGCATCAGAATGAAGGAAAAGTCCCTTTCCCAGCCAGATCTGGCCTTTTACTGTCCCCTGCTCATTCTCCTTGTTTTAGAGCCATGGTCAAAGCAGTCGATCTCCCAGGAGTCGCTGGGGGCGCAGGGCTAGGACAAGGTCGGTGAGGCCTCGCTTGCAGAGAAGCCGTCTCCGTTGCGGTGCGGAGCCCACACCTTCCGGGAGCGTTGTGGGTCGTGGCTGGGCCTGGGGAGTGTGTGCTCTCGCGTGGGCCTCGTGTCCCTGGTTTAGACCTGACGAGCCATGGGCCCCCACGGCAGCCGGTATCTGGCTCCCCTCCTGCGTACTGGAACCTTGGCACACCGCACCGCGCGCACAGTCGCCACAGCTGGCACACTCCGGCCCCAGCCTTCCCAGTGTGCTTAGGCCCCCATTTACCTGGGCCACCTCCAGCAGGGCCTGAGGGGCTTGAGGAGTGACCGCTAACTTGGCCATATTCTCTTTGGGCCTGCCTCCCTCCAAGAAAAACAGCGGCAACCCAGGAATTGCATCGGAAACTTGAATGGGCAAGATAGGATATGCAACGGGGAAGGCGCGCGTCCAAGTCCCATCTCTTGGAAGGTGCCAGCTTCAGGAACAGAGGCCGCCCTACCTCTTCCTGCCTGCCTACCTCGGCCCCAAAAGCCCCCCTCTGTCCCTGCCCCCAGGTAGGGCCGGAACTCCCCTGCACCACCTCTCTTCTTGCCCTCCTGATAAACCACAGAGTCGCCTGCCCAGTGCCAGTGCGGTTGATTATCTCCGGCGAGACGCACAATTGATTAAAATGAAATGACCCGGAAGCTGCCACGGCGCAGGGCGGGGCCACCGATCAATGGTGGGGCTAGAGGCACAGGAGCCGGACCAGTCGGGGCTGGGATTGGGGCTGACTGCCAGGGGTGGCCCAACGTTGGGCGGGGGATTTTTCTCCCATGAGGCTCTTGACCCAGGTGAGCTGAGGTGGGTGACTGTAACCCTGACTGCCCCCCACCCAAGCTTCTTCTGAAAGGAGAATGGGACAGCCTGGCACTTTGTGGGTACATTGAACGTGGCCCAGGTCAGCGAAGCACACAGCCTGGTCCCGGTCTCTTCTCCCCCTCCCTGTCTTCCTCTGCCTCCGTGGCCCTCTCTGTCCCCGCCTAGGCCTTTGTGTGACTGTCATCTGTAGCACCGCTGCCGCCTCTGGGGCTTTCTAGGGCCCTCCCCTTTGGCCCCTCCACTCCCACCCCCTCCCACCCCAGAGCAGTCTGAGATGCTGCTCGGGCGGCCCCAGGTCCTCGCTCTCAGGCCCCGTCAGCATCCCACCTCCCTGGCCCTTTCCGGCCCCAGCTGAGCAGAGCTCCCCGCCCCAGTGTGCTGCCGGGCCGGCGTCTGGCCCCAGGGAGGGCTGGGGAGGGTGAGGGGAAGCCAGGGAGGAGGGGAGCAGAACTAGCCCAGCTCCGATTTCTCCGGTCAGCTGAGCACAACTTTCCATTCGAGTGTATTCATGCAGTGGCTGATTGAGCTCTGCTCTGCCAGGCGGGGCTCGGCGGGAGGGGACAGGCACAGCCCGGCAGACAGAGGCTGTACCACACACACACACACACACACACACACACCATCTACATAAATATACCCCCACACATCACATACACCCTCACCCAAGCCATTCCACCATAAAGGCAGTCCGGGCTTGCCCTCACTTACAGACCTTCTTCCCTATCCTATGCAGTACCTGCTTTTCCAAATACACTGCTGCTCACAGACACGAGGATCCCTCATCCTTCTCCTTACGGGGCACACTCTCAGGACCCGCACACCCTGAGCCTGCACAGTGACACCATAAACCTGCCCAGCCTCACAGCCACACCCTCCTGCAGAGCTGCCCAGGCTCACCTGACAATGGAGGTGCACATCTGCATAAAAAGCAGTAGCACCCAGAAATTCTTCGTGTGTAGCCTTGGTGGACACAGTGGGCAGAGGTTCCCCAAAATTCACACACAAGGAAGGTGGCCAGTAAACAGTTAAGTTCAGAGAAGGTAGCCACTATATTTCACCAAGACAGACACACACCTGTGAACCCACCCAAACCCAGACTACACTGCTTGACTATAGGCACTCAGAGGCCACTCCCACCCATTCCCAGCACACACACACACACACACACACACACACACACCAAGAAAGAGAGAGCACCAGATAAGCATCTTCAGAGAGACATGCCTACTCTCCCGAGTGGACAACAGAGCCGAGGCCTCCATTCCAGATCCAAATGCCCAGGGTGTGCTGTTCTGCTGAGCAACAAGGCAGAGGGAGAAGAGAGAAAGTCGCTGTGGTGCAGCTGGTAAAGCTACCGCCTGCAGTGCTGGCATCCCATTTGGGCGCTGATTCGAGTCCCCACTTTTCCACTTCCGATCCAGCTCTCTGCTATGGCCTGGGAAAACAGTAGAAGATGGCCCAAGTCCTTGGGCCCCTGCACCTGCATGGGAGACCTGGAAGAAGCTCCTGGCTCCTGACTTTAGATTGGCACAGCTCCGGCCATTGCGGCCAATTGGGAGAGTGAACCAGCAGATGGAAGACCTCTCTCTCTCTCCCTCTCTCTGCCTCCCCTTTTCTGTGTAACTCAAATAAATAAATAAATAAATCTTAAAAAATAAAAAGAGGGAGAAAAATTGTAGAGTAGGGAGGCAGCCCAAAGGGGAAGCAAGAGAAAGGAGGTGATTTGAACCAAAAAGGAGAGTGGGCAGGAAGGATTAAAGAGAAAAGGGAGCAGCTGTTTCCCAGGGGGAGCAAGCCTGCCTGGGAGAGGGTGCCACTGTAGTGGAGATCAGTTCATTCCTCTAGAAAGGGAGCACTGGCCTGGGAAGTGAAGTGAGCACTGTGGGAGTAC